CATAACTTCAATCACACATCGGTTCACAATTACATGGGGTTCAACCCAAAAACCTTGATCAAACGCTCACTAAACCATATATCATCAACCAATCTCACATCGGTTCACAATTACATGTGTTCAACCCAAAACCGATAATCAAACGCTCACTCAACCATATACATAACCTCAATCTCACATCGTTTCACAATTACATGGGGTTCAACCCAAAACCGATAATCAAACGCTCATTCAACCATATACATAACCTCAATCTCACATCGGTTCACAATTACAAGGGGTTCAACCCAAAACCGATAATAAAACGCTCACTAAACCATATACATAACCTCAATCTCACATCGGTTCACAATTACATGGGGTTCAACCCAAAACCGATAATCAAACGCTCATTCAACCATATACATAACCTCAATCTCACATCGGTTCACAATTACATGGGGTTCAACCCAAAACTAATAATCAAACGCTCATTCAACCATATACATAACCTCAATCTCACATCGGTTCACAATTACATGGGGTTCAACCCAAAACCCATAATCAAACGCTCATTCAACCATATACATAACCTCAATCTCACATCGGTTCACAATTACTTGGGTTCAACCCAAAACTGATAATCAAACGCTCATTCAACCATATACATAACCTCAATCTCACATCGGTTCACAATTACATGGGGTTCAACCCAAAACCGATAATAAAACGCTCATTCAACCATATACATAACCTCAATCTCACATAGGTTTACAATTACATGGGGTTCAACCCAAAACCGATAATCAAACGCTCATTCAACCATATACATAACCTCAATCTCACATCGGTTCACAATTACAAGGGGTTCAACCCAAAACCGATAATCAAACGCTCATTCAACCATATACATAACCTCAATCTCACATCGGTTCACAATTACATGGGGTTGAACCCAAAACAGATAATCAAACGCTCACTCAACCATATACATAACCTCAATCTCACATCGGTTCACAATTACATGGGTTGAACCCAAAACCGATAATAAAACGCTCACTAAACCATATACATAACCTCAATCTCACATCGGTTCACAATTACATGGGGTTCAACCCAAAACCGATAATCAAACGCTCATTCAACCATATAAATAACCTCAATCTCACATCGGTTCACAATTACATGGGTTCAACCCAAAACCTGATAATCAAACGCTCATTCAACCATATACATAACCTCAATCTCACATCGGTTCATAATTACATGGGGTTCAAGCCAAAACCGATAATAAAACGCTCATTCAACCATATACATAACCTCAATCTCACATCGGTTCACAATTACATGGGGTTCAACCCAAAACCGATAATCAAACGCTCACTAAACCATATACATAACCTCAATCTCACATCGGTTCACAATTACATGGGGTTCAACCCAAAACCGATAATCAAACGCTCATTCAACCATATACATCACCTCAATCTCACATCGGTTCACAATTACATGGGTTCAACCCAAAACCGATAATCAAACGCTCATTCAACCATATACATAACCTCAATCTCACATCGGTTCACAATTACATGGGTTCAACCCAAAACCGATAATCAAACGCTCACTTAACCATATCCATAACCTCAATCTCACATCGGTTCACAATTACATGGGGTTCAACCCAAAACCGATAATCAAACGCTCATTAAACCATATACATAACCTCAATCTCACATCGGTTCACAATTACATGGGGTTCAACCCAAACACCGTAATCAAACACTCACTAAACCATATATCATCAACCAATCTCACATCGGTTCACAATTACATGGGGTTCAACCCAAAACCGATAATCACACGCTCATTCAGCCATACGTAGTAAAAAGCAAACGAACAATGAATTTTACAAAATATATTAAGTAGTCTGACTGGTTAGTACGCTGAATTATTATGCCAAGTGCTCTGGTTCGAACCTTCTTAATGTCGTTTTTTTTCACTAACAAGCGAGCCCACAATCTCACGGGTGTGAGATGGTCTTGAATCACGGGTGTGAGATGGTCCTTTAAGACCGTGAGGTTCTCTGAACATAGGGAATGATTTTTTGATTCTCAATGCCCAGTCTCACGGGCGTAAAATTACCATCATTAAGGCGTTATAAAATCCCATCTCACGGCTCAGTCTCACGGGCGTGAAAGATACATCCTAAGCATCAGAGACAATGAGAAATCACCATCTCACGGCCGTGAAAATGGCTTATCGAGGCCGTGAAACAGCCTCTGGCAGGGTGAATAAGGTTCATTTTCAACCATTTTTCGGTATATGATCATGCATAATTTTTTCCTTGTCGACACATTAAACATAATATAGAGAAAAAATAACATCACTGAATAATGCTTAATTCATAACTTCATTGTAATTTCAACAGTTTCCTAAACTTCATTCAACATCTACATTCAATAAAATTCATTCAACATCTACATTATCCTAAACTTCAATCAACATCCACATTAACTAAACTCTACATTAACATCACAAGTCTCAATGCTTCTTAGACTTTCTACCCTTTTTCTCCCCATGCACGTGCAACGGCTTTCTTCCTCGATTGAGTAAGTTTGTCTTGAAATTCACCTTCTCAGTCTCAATTTGGGCAGGTCTCGCATGACTCTCAAAATATTCATCTGATTGTGTCTTAACTGTAGCTTTCACCTCATTCAGATCCGTAGTGAGCAAGTACATTGTAAGTTGTGCCCGCTCATAGTCACTGTCGAACTGGTCAAGCTTCTTGGAATATCGATATGGATCCAGCAAGTAATTGATGACAAATAGTCCACAATCAAATCCATAATATAAAAAATAATTACCATGGTCATGATGCGAACAAATAATTATCGAACTTAATTAAACAGTGCACGATTGAACAACAACAAAGGGTACCCATTTGGTTGGCAAGCAACATCCTGGCGATATCTAACCACGAAGTCCACAAATGAAAACGCCCCGCAGATATCATCCTTAAGCAACCAATCTAGACCCAATTTCTGCAAATGAAAACATCCCCCTCATCGATATATAACGACAAAGTCGGCAAATGAAAAACAACTAACAACTAAGCAATAAGTAAAGCTTGAAAACTTGAAGAACAAGAAGCAAACCAGTTTCTGCATCCTTGCATCATATTCTTCATTATGAGTTCCTGGTAATGAGTCCCAGATTTCAATTTCTTTGGCTTCCATGTTAAAGACCGCCAGATAGAAGTGGTTCAACGTGAGGTTGAAAATTGGGACATGAATCTGAAATAATGGACAAACAAACAATAATTATCAATTTAACATAGGAGGGTGAAGCCATTTCCTTTTAGAAAACAACATTACAACATACCTTACTGCAGTAAAGTAGCTCACTTATACAGTATCGCTCAAGTATCTTATATGAACGCATCTTAGCCATAAATTGCTCCTCGTTGCAATGATTCGCACGATCCTAAAAAAATAAAACACAGTCACCCACACAAGCTACATGTAACAAAAAATAGATTAATTTCATGAAAAGAATAGACAAAGCAGACAACTGTACCGAAACTGAAGGTGGAAAGAACCAAGATAAGCCACCACTGCGACCACAACTTCGTTCTTCTATTGTCTTGCACAGACACGCCATTTCTATAATCTAATGCATCATCATCACATATACCAAAGTCAGCAATACACGTTCAATCTACTAAATTACACACATAAAGGAACTTACCCTTGTTGAAATTCTGGTCCTTGGCAAAAGCTCGACCAAATCTTCACGTAACAAGGAAAGAACCCCGCCACCAAGACTAACCAATATGTCACTGTTATACAATACCAAGTTCAAACAACACAACATTAGAATAAGGCAAATACCAAAAACATCCTAGAAATATGATCCAATCTTACTTGTAATGATTTCGGGAGGTACCTTTCGGGAAGCTTACTACTAAAAGCAAATTGAATCATCTTTACTGCATCCAGAGTCAATGGTGTCTGAACAACAAAGGGAGGAGCACGGTACAAAGGTTGTCCTTTCTTAGCTCTGGGATTTGCCCGTTTGAATGGAGAGACCACATACAAACTAGGCTTCAATTTAGACACACTACGTAGTCCACCTCCCTTTCGCCCCTTTCTTGTTCAAAAACATAAAAACAAAACCAGTTCATTAGTAACCACACCATAAGAACCAATAATTAGAAAACTTAATCAAGTGAAATACCTTCACAGTCTTGGAACAACCATCATTAGCATCAACATTTTCATCACTCAACAATATGAATTTCTCAACTTTAGACGCTTTAGGCTGCTTGCAAGGAGACTTTTTCACAACTTTCACAGAAGGAGATACAGAACATCTGTCATCTCCAATTTCCCCCTCAGCTTCTCCCGAATTCTCAACTTTGGCAGTCTTGACGCATTCGGAGGTAGGAGAAATGGGTTCCCTTGGTTTTTCAACCTCACCCTTCTGATCGTTCTTTTCAACTCAGCTGCAGAAGCTATCACGTTATCAGCCGCATCCTTTTGATCGTTCTTTTTCAACTCAGTAGGCTGCTCCCTTGACAACGGATCACCTACAGTTGCTTTCACTGCCTCTATAAGGGACTTCACTGCAGTACCAATTTCTTCTCTAAAAGCCCGAAATTCGTTCTCCATTTTCACAACCCGGCTCATTAGCTCATTGTCTCTAGAAGCAGCATCACCCATTGCCACTCTAAATTCTTGACCAAAGTTGTCAATTCTACCCTCCATGGTACTAAACCGAGCATCAATACGCTTACAGAGAAGCAGCTTATCCCCGTCGGGTTTGTGCCGTTTCCCGTCTCTTTTTCCCCGTTTCCTTGGAGGTGATTTCAAACCGGCATCCTCAGCTGATCTTTTCCCCGAACTGCTGGAAACCTATAAATTAATTAAAAAGGGAACCAAATGTACCATTAGCATGCTCCAACTTGTCAAAAGAATCAAATATACTATCAATCTTATCACTTTTGTTAACAATAACTCCACATCTCCGCTCCCCCAACTCATCAAATCCAAACTCCGATCAATGGTTTGGAAAATACCATTTGCATGCTCCAAGAATATTAACTACAAAAAAATACTATAATCAACATGATGATTAATCATTATAAATATGTAGAAAGTCGGGATTAGCAATTATTTACCTCCAAAAACAGCACGCAGCCCGGTATATACTCTCTCCTATAAGCATTATGGTCGCAGATGCATTTGCCCAATTCATTGAAGCAAAAGGATGCCCAATTCTTCTTTGGAATGTCTGCAACATCGGTGACAACGTATACCGAAGACAAGGAAATGTCATCTCTTCTAGTTGGTACTAATAGCACCCCCATTACGTACAAAATAAACGTTTGAAGAAATAGATCGCCGCTATCTTTCATCTTCGACAACGCCTTCTGCATTAAGCTTGTGGAAATCGCCTGTCGGCCACAATCATGTGTCGAAAACACTCTAAATGGTTCCAGTTCCTCCGATCTTCCTCCCACTTCTTCACCATTCAAGATGATATCATTACCTCCCTCAGGCACGCCCATAATTCGCTCGAAATCTTTGGCCGAAATATGCACTTCCAACCCATACGCCTTAATTGTGCTTTCTTCCAGATTAAAGCTCTTCAAAAGTTTCTCCAACAACTCACGTTGTAGCATTCTTCCTTTGACTTCAAGAATACGACCAAAGCCACATCTCTTAATGGCCTCTGATTGACAAGCCTCTAAATTTGAGACTAGTGAGAATACTTTCCTAGGAGAACATCGCGTGCTGAAAATTTGATGCCTCTTCGTCATCATTATAGAACAATTTTAGCAAACTGCAAAATTAAAACAACAGAAAAATTATAAGCATGCCTTGAAACACGAATTATAAGCATGCCGAAGAGTACAAACAAAATACAAGTTCTAACTATCAGAAGAACTGAAAACCCCCTACATCAACACCTGAGTACACTAATTAACCATGAAATCCGCCATTGACATATATAAATTTCACCCAACACCCCGCTTTCATTACATTTCACCCAAAATGCAAATTCTCACGGCCGTGACATGACCCGTGACAAGCAAAGAGTAGTTTTCATATCTCCAGACAATCTCACGGCTTTGGCTTCATAAATCACGGCCGTTAAAATAAGCCATGAAACTCAAAACACCCAGATTTCACTAAACATTCTCACGGCTAATTCTGGAAATTTCACAGCCGTAACATCTTCTCATGAGATAAGCAAAACAGAAGAAAAGGTTTAATCATCTATTCACAGAAGAAAAGGTTTTCTCTTTGCAGTCTCAAACTTGTTATCAAGGTCATCGATCTCCGAAACTAGAGGGTGTGATCTAGCAGGCAAACTGTTGGAGCAAGCATGGAAAGAAGCAGGCTGCCATTTTTCCTGGTTTTCTTGATGTGGGGAAGTTGTATGAAGTTTGGAAGAGATGATTTGTACAGAGATTTCTGACATGGTTGTTTAGATCCAAATCATTCACAACATTTTCTCATCTCATTCATCCATTCATTGTTTTATAAATGCAAAGAGAATGAGATTCCTCATGTGTCTCCTTTGCCATATGCCATATATAATGAATCAGATGCAAAAGCAAACACAACAAAGAAAATGTTATTTTCAAAAGGCTATGCTGAAACCAGAACCACCATATCCAGGATGCTACAGGACACTCAGGAAGTCGGTCCCAGCGTGTGTTCGAATCGTGATCGGCCTAGTTTGATAATTGATCTACAGACATAAACAAAAACCAGTTGCTGTTTAAGTTTATTGCTGGTTTCTAAGCTGGGAAAAAACATAACCAAGTGGCAAGGTAGAGATGAACTAGCAGAGCAGATACTCGGCATTGTTGACTTAGTTTGGCAACTAGTGACCAGTTACTTGGCTTGGAGCCTGATTGAGAGAAATGAATGACAACAAGCACTCCAACACCTCAAAAACAGAAGATAATCAAAACAAAAAAAAATGTCACGGAAGATCAGGGAAATTGATAGCCCTAAGACCACTGAGTCGTTTGCTGAGGTTAGTTCCCCTGATAAACTCGAAACAGTATCTGTCTAGGGATGTATAAAACTCATTCCCGGCCTTGAGGCCTGATATGAGAAACTTAAAGAAGCAAAATTGACTATGAATTAACTCTATAAACAGCAAAAACCCTGAAAATAACTCGAACTCTAGTGGGATGTGCGAGATAAAAATTGACTATTAAGTAAACACTACAAACCCATTCCTTACATCCCTAAAACCCAATCAAGACCAAAGAACTAAAGAAGCAAGCAGAACAACCCCAACACAGTTATTCTCTTCAGTTTGAAAGCAAAGGCAACAACGAAATGAACAACCTCAGCACAGTTTATGGGATTATATAAACCAAGACAGCTTCCTAGTTGACACTGAATCCTCCATTCACAAATACCTCCTAGGTCACATCAACGATCTGTGTGAGGAATGAAGTTATATGGTGGATGGCCACAGCTATTTGCACAAAAAAGTGCAGACTTTCTGAAGCTTCATCAATCACGGAATGACTAAAGATGCCCACATCTCAATCAAACTCGGCCGTGACAAAATACAGCACAACCAAGAACTACACTTGAGAGAGCTCCAATACTCATTGCACAAGACGTTAAAGCTAAAGAGATAGACAAACCAAATCACAGAAGAAGACACTGGAAAAGATGGAGCACATCAGAATTCCCACTTCACACAACTGATAAAACCGAGAGAGGGAAAGGAATATCGCATCTTATATCACCATATCCAATTGAGTATGCACATGAAGAAAGCAGTGGAGAAGCTTCAATTTCAATCCCAAATGGTTACACAGAATTGAGAAATTCTCTCTTCTACTTCCATAGTTCAATCTGGTAAAACGAGCATGGAATTTCAATCCCCCTACCGAAATTTGTAAATCTAGAACATCCCAATACAATCCCTAAACTGATAGCCATACTAACCGGAAAATTGAATAAAATTGTAGAACTGTAGGCATACTAACCGGAAAAGGTTGCGGTGGAGGAGGTAGGTCAGCGGTCTTCGTTTGCTATCGATGGGAAGAGGGGGTTCTGTGCAGGGTCTTCGTTTGCTATCTATGGGAAGATGGTCTTCGTTTGCAATCGACGAAGAGATGCTCGCTCTCGTCGTCCCCTGCTCGCCGCCTTCACTGTCGTCGTCGGAATCCGGCTCGCCGCAGTCAAAGAGATGCTGCAATCGACAAGCTTCTTCTACTCGTCGTCACCCAATGCTCTCCGTCTTCACTGTCGTCGTCAGAATCTGGCTCGCTAGCTGCGTGGAGAGGATCGAAGGAAGAGGATCAAAGGAAGAGTAAACGGCGGTGAGAAGAGGTGAGAAGAAGGTTGCGTGGTTAATTGAATGCGTAAAAAAATTTCAGACAACCGGTCGTACCGGTTCTCCACCCACAAATAAAATAACATATTAATAATTTAAATAAAATCTATGGTTGATATAGTTTGAACATAATCTAATGGCTGTAAATGTTTTATAGCACCAATACTATAAAGCACACTAAAATGCCTCCTTTATGATATGGACAATTGAAACTTGCTTTTCCAAATTAGGGCATTTGGATTGGGTTTTGTAGTATTACAACACATTGAGGTTTTGTACAACAGCGTAGGCCGATGAAAAACAAAAAACATCATTTATTTTAGTTTTATTGTTTTTTTTTTCCAAGAGTTTTATTGTTTATGACACGCTGACAATTTAATGGTCAAAGTTGAATACCACCTAGGATCAATTTAATGGAATTGAATGGTGGGTGCCCTAAAAAAATTTTGATCGGCAAACATGAAACTATTTGATAAATCAAGTCACCAAACAAGCAATTCACTGATATTTGATGACATACAGTTCTATACATTTTGGAAGAAAAAAAATTGGGATATATATTACCGATCTGATAGTACATAAGATTGTACCATGGTGGTATGAAAATATATAATGATGGTACAAATATACTATAACCTAGAATAATTGTATAGATGATAGTAGTAATATACTAACCACAATTTATTAGATAATTCATGTGTGCAATGTAAGATTGATGATTTGGTACTTTGAGCCCATGTGGCCATTTTATTTAATTATTAAATGTCGGGTAATACTTAGATGCGACCTAGATATAGCAGCCAGCTCCTGCTACCCGTCCGCATGTTATTTCCTCATTGGCCCATTTTCTTTTGATTTTCCATTTTTTCTAAAGTTTAAAAAATCATTTCTTTTCCATTTTGTTGACTGTGTAAATCCAACTCGTCGAACTCTAGGTCAATGTATGAGCTCCAGAGCCGTTGCCATCTCTGGGAGAGAGCTATAGTCTTTGAAGCTTATTGGGAGAGAGCCATAGTGTATGGAACTCCAGGTCCGAATACCATGTGTTTCAGGTATATGTACTACCTATCCCATTTCCATCACTAGTACCAAGGATCTGGATTCAGTTTAGCACTTTTCCATAACCATGAGTTATCCATCCTACTACCCTAGACGTTATTATAATTGAGTTCACATTTCCGAGCTCTATTTGGAAGGTTTAATGGTTGGAAAATGAATATCCCCAAGGGCCAATAGTTACATAGCATAATTCACAAGATGTGTAAAACTCCCCCCATAATTATTATCATTATTTATTGCTGCATCATGGCATAACATAACCCGAAGGTACTAAGGAGGAAATAACAAAACCACGAAATGGTGAAACTGAAGGAGCAAACGCAACAACGCCTCGCTAGTAAACAAGGATAGAGATAGATACAGCGGTACTGCTGTATGCATGCACTTGTACGTTACAGATATTATTGAGGGTACGAATCACAAACGGCTGGTTATGGGGGGGAATATATAATTACGATGATCTGATCACTTTTTGGTGTGGTGATCATCGATATCTTTGCTGAGATGCACAGCAAATTTCATAAGGGAGAAGGGCTCGGGGACATCCTCGTTCAGCTTCTCGTACTCCATAGTCCAGTGGATGAGGCTAGTGTTCTCCGATTCGGGAGTTGCCTTGACAACAATCTTGAACTCCTTGTACTCCTTCATAAGATCGCCTTCCACCACCTTGAAAGTGGTCGAAAAGTTCACATCATCGATGTCTTCGACTAGTTCCTTGGCCACCTTGTGAACTCCATCTGAGCACATATAAGGTTTGAGTCCTCAATTCAGCTTATGAAAATGAAAATTATTTTTAATTTGGTGAATGGTATATATAGGAAAATACCATGAACATAGTCCCAGATAACTATGGCGCCCTTTTTGCCGAAGTCGCCTTCGTGGAGAGCACAGTTCTTGATCTTGGTCGGAGCCATGTTGCAGACGTGGTGAGGCCTGCCGCTGAAGATGTCGTGGTGCTGACTCGCCGGGAGACAGATCCCAAAACATGCCTCCAGCTTCCCGCAGAGCAGAGTACTCATCTTCTTTACTCGGTTGCTTTGTTTCTCCTTAATTAACTGTTGTTGCGTTGGTGGTAGTGTGGGAGGAAGTGAAGCAATCAACATTGAATTTATAGGACGCGAGGCTATGGTGGACTAATACAATGGGATCTAGGTAATATATGGAAATAGGACTGTAAAGTTTTATAAACACGTTTTATGGCTTTTCATATACACAGCTGTGCGATGTGGGTCGGCCCATGCATGCAATTATGGACAATGAAAGAAAGGGTTCGGTCGGTGGGGAACAAATTATTGACTATTGGTGTAACTCAGAGACCTGAGCCTTGCCCTTTAATAATACCAACCACATTTGATACATTAACCACGTTGGTTTCTACCTACTGCAAAATAGACTGGTAATTCTGGAACCACCTTAACACTCCATGCACTATATATTCACTGCCTCATTTGGCTCTACGAATGAATACTGATTGTAGAACCCTCTCAAAATTTTAATGTTATTTTCACGTCCAAAAACCTTTTATTACTTCATCTCATTAAATTCCAATCGACTATTTCATTAGTCGTTGCTTCCTCTAGGGAATTTATTTGAATCTTCTTTGGGGTTGTTTGGATCGAGAAATGTCATCGGAGAGATTTTGGGCCGCCCAATTTCCGTATTAAAAATCCCGGGAATTTATACGAAGATCATATCAGTTTATATCAATATCATATCAAGTCCATATCCAGTAATATCATTTCATTTAAAAATTATCACTATGTATGATTGATATGATAGTGTTATACTACAACCGACATATGTATTGAAGAGTTTTCTTCATTTTCTCAAAATATAGCAAAAATGCATACCAATGTGTAGATCATAATTAATGCGCTTTATCTATGCAAATTTAGAGTTTAAACGATTTCTGTAAGATCTGGTTAAGAAAAATAGGAAATTACGAAAAGAATTTTCTTTCTCCCCTGGATCCTTGTAAAACTGTGAGGGAAAAAAACCCCAGGAGTGGCAGAATTACCCGTACCTCCTCTTTTATTGTTCTGATTTAAAGTCTGTCATCATATCTGCTATTGATCGGACGGATAGGGTTTAGATCTCCCTTTTTCACCTCACCCAACAGTAATGAAATATTTAATTGAACGAAAAAAAAATAGTAACCGTGTATAACCTTCCCTCTTCCATCACCTCGCAGGGATTCTCATTCCCGCACAAATGCAGCACATCTACTCATTGATCTTCCCACAATCCCCTTCTTCAAAGCCCTCTTCTTCCTCCTCCCACAAGCTCAGCACTCTTTTATCTTTCCTTCCTTGCCAACCGTGATCGTCGTCTCCGACATTCTCGTATTCTGCTTCTGTCGCCGCCATCGGAGTGCCAACAACCCCCTCTCTGTCGCCGCAGAGATTCTTTCATTAGATGCGTCGGTGCACTGGAAGTTGATGTTCTGCGGGCAAGACGAGTGTTGGCCTAAATTTTCGTTTGAACTTTTGCAAACTGTAAAATTCCAAAACGATAAGTTTTCATTTGATAGGGGCATTTTAAGAGATAAACACTTAAATGTTGATATGGCTTGAATCGGACTATAGGCTCGTATTCCTCTATAATCTGTATCTGTTTGAAATATAGTGAGATTGGCTCTCTTCTGCATGTTACTTTCAGTTGTAGTCAGATAGTCCGATTCAAGTCATATCAATATTTTTGTATAGAAATAATACAATTTGAAAAAAAAATTAATCGATAATTAATTTTCACTGTTTTATAATTCAAAGATAAAAATTTAATAAAAAATCGTATGCATTACCATTATTCCATATCTTCTCGCTTGAATTAATATATATGCATTACCATTATTCCAACGCCTTTCAAAAGATCCACTTCTAACAACACCTCGAACATGGGAACGTATCAGGTCAGTAATCCTATGATCAGTAACCATGAGTAATCTGTCCACATCAGCATAACATCAGTATCCTCTCTCTCCTGGAAAGTCTTTTATCTATTGCCCTTTAATCTTTAACGGACGATTTCTCTCTCGTTTGAAGTCAAAATTTAATTTTTTTTGCACAGACAAATCAGATTAAATGCGCTCTTTAAAATGATATCCACTTTGATATATTTTTAGTACAAAATAATTGAATAATTTTTTACTAGTCATACCATATGGTAAGAAAGCGTACCATGATGGTATAAACATACCAATATGGTAAGAAGGTTGAATACATGATAATAGGAGTATAGTAACTGTCATTTACGACTTTCATCATCGTTTACTACAAATTACCACAAGTTACCACCCACATGCCATAGTGGTAAAGTATGGTAATTTTTTATCCAGTAATTTTTTACCCAAAAATTTGTAGATCCAATAGATCATGATTAACTCGTTCCTTCTGAGCAAACGTTTTTAAAAACGACATAAAAACGAAGAAGTAACCATATGATATGTAGTTGGTAAAAAAAAGTTTCTCGAAATATATAGAAAATTGATCACTTTTTGTAGAGCACAACGAACTCGTTCCATCTATGCAAAAAAAATTAAAATCCGAGTTAGAACAAATATAATAATAGCCGATTAAGAAAACTAGGGAAAATAAAATGTTTTTAATTGACAAGATCTGAATTATCTGGACCCACTTAGATCTAAAGGTTCATATTTAATTATTCATAAATCAGTAACTAATGGTTACTGGCCCTATCTTAATTCTCGAACATGCACCGACTAATAATTTCACTCTTCACTCTCACATTGTGAAATGGGAAATAATGGCTTTCGTGGCCGAAACCCCAATGCTATGCCAAGTGCCAACAGCCTATTAATTATTACTGAATGAATCTAGAAGTGAAAGTTAAAGTCACAGCTGCAAGCCTGACGCAAGTGGCCCGTTTTGATCAGTTTATCATTGATAAGCAATAGTCATGTGGAGAAAGTCAGAACACACATCACGCCATTGATGTAGAAGATGGGTCGATAAATAAATTGTACACCCACCCTCTGCTCTAGTACGAATAGTCTGTGGGTTATCAACGGCGGATCCAGATATGATAAAGCACTGGCGCCGCATTTAATAGAAAATTCAATATCGTAAACAGAAATATATAATAACTATAATTTTCATTACATTGTCAATTGTACACGATGGTCTTTTAATTTAGCAAAATTCATCAATAATGGAGTCTTCATCCATACCAATAGCATACTCTCTCTCAAAGAAAATAATTAAACAACCAACGAGAAAATCATCGCTCATTTTGTTGCGCAAATCAGTCTTCACATGTTTCATTGCTGAAAAGGATCTCTCTGTAGTAGCCGTTGAAACGGGCAACGTCAACACTAGACGAATCAACCAACAAATCATTTTGAATTGAGGCTCCTTCTCTGTTTTCACCAGTTTCTCTAGTAGTTTTGCAAGGGAAGAAACCTTAAATTCGTTATCATGGACCACATGAGAGGGATAAGATCCAAGTTCATTCATCAACGACGACGACGATGATCGGATGTTGGCAGTGAAGCGGCGGAGGGGCTGAGCGAGAGCTCTCAAGCACGAGCTTCTATTTCTGCCCGAGAGGATTGGACATTTGGACTCTGAACTATGAAACACGATTTTTGGAAGAGATTGAGATTTAAATTGGGCCCATTTTGATTTATTTTTCAGCAACCAAATAATACTAGGCCATTCTATAAAAAAAAAAATACTAACACTGGGCCAATTATTAAATGCACTGGGCCAACTATCCAAAATTTTAAAATTATTAAGAGGTATATTGGTTCTGGGCCCATAAGAGAGCTGGGCCACAGCCTAGAGGCGGCCCCCCAGATCCGCCGTTGTGGGTTATTATTGATGCAACTGATATAGAAGGTAGAGTGAAGCATTAGGTAGTAGATATTTTCAATTAAACTAATATTTAAATAATTAAACTAATATTATTGACGATTGTTGTATGTGGTAAAAAGTAATTGATTATATTAAACTAATATTTAAATAATAAACGTTAACATACAAACTGATTCGGGAAAAAAATATGATTCTTATTGGGATTTCGGTTTAAACCATGGTAAAGGAAACCGGTTCGTACCGGCCGGTTCAACCGGTAAAACCGGAAATCCGACCAGCGGCAAAACGATACTCTACTAGCCTTCTTTCTACCGCGCCGGCCGGTTTAATCGGCTTAACCGACATGAACCGGTATACCGCCCGATTTAAATCAGACCGGCGGCACTCAGTCGCCTGGCCGGACTTGGATGCTTGTCTTCACCGCTCAGGTTCCCAATTCCCCCCCCCCCCCCTAAATCCCCTTTCAGAATTTCAATCATAACCAGTAAGTCAATGTTAAGAAAAATGGTAAAATTGCAGAAGAAATTGAAGGGTGGAAGGTATTTCCCGATTACTGCAGTTCATAGATTTGATGCTGCTGTGCCTGTAAGTAACCACTCATCGTCATCCCCGGATCTCGAATTTCCTTGTCTAGTTTAGGCTCTCTGTTTGGTTGCTTACAGAAAAGGAATGGCCTAATTTGTATGTTACAGGGCAAGAGGATTGAGAATGGGGTGTATTTTGGACCAATTGGATGGCTAACATTTGAAGGGAGATTTGCATGGAAGAAGAAGAAGATATTAGCATTCATCTTTGAGCGAATCCGAATCAAACTCGGCCCATTTAACCCTCTCGAAATTGGGATTGGCAGCGGTGGAGAGCAGGGAGATAGAGAACCAACCACAAAGAATGGTCCTTTCTTCATCTGGTTGTACATCGACCAGAGAGAGAGAGAAAGAGGAGGAAGAATGGAAGATGAGAAAAGATGGGGAAAAGCTGCACGCGGAGGAGTAACCAAGGAAGATTGATCGCGGCATGGATGACAATGACGGCTGCTCATGGAATGGAAGATTGATTTTGGGATTAGGGTTTCTTGTTCATACCATAGTCTGGTTGGGCTTTGCTTTACTTGGAGTGGTTTGTCTGTTGGGCTCTTGCCCTTATGTTGTTTGTTCCTTCCTTGGGCTTGGCCCATGTATCTGTCCACCATTGTGGAGTCTTTATTCAATGATCTCCTTATTCAAAAAAAAAAAAAAGGAGTAACCAAGGAAGATGATAAGTGATGGGGAAGCTCAAAAAAAATATTATTTTTAAAATTTTCTATTAATTTGCTAATTAGTTGTATATATTGTCCGGTATATTCCGATACATCTGGTATTACTCCGAGACGATACTCTGATTTTGGCGGCACGATTTTTTGACAGAAAATATATTTTATTATTACAAAAACGGCATTTACCGGTATGAAACGGTTGAACCACGATCGTACCACAAAATACCCTACCAGAAAGGAATCCGGTATGATGTCCGGTACGGTTTCCTTTACCATGGTTTAAACCAAAAGTCGAACCCATTTCCCAGCCTAATGGCTCCTAATGGCTACTCGGCTTTGAGGACTTCAAAAGAACGAAGCAGAGAGATTTGATAGAAAACTGAAGGAAAAAATTTCTTTTTGAAGAAGAAAGTTGTAGCATGATGAGATTGGAGAACAGTCCAGGGTGAGATAGGGAAACACCATGATGCGAGTCATTTGTTAGGACTTTTGGGACGAGGGTAGATGTACGATAGCTCGCTACAAGATTACTAGAATTATGATAGAGTAGTGAATTATATACACTTTCCGAAAATAATATTTAAGTTTAACCCTCTATAAAAGTCTTGGGTTACAGGAATTTCTCTCGAGTATAAAACTATCATCACTTTAGGTTCTAGACTCAAGAACACTAAAGCATACTTAGAAATTTTTGGAAGAAAGAAGGAGAATATGGTTGATGATTTATGACGTCATCCACTCCACACATATATTTATAGGGGCCGAATCCATGCATTGTTTCATGAAAGGTTGCATTATTCATACGAAAGATTGCCTTTATCCATACAAAAAGTTTCCTTTATCCATCCGAAATGTTGTCATTATTCATATGAAAGGTCGTCTTTATCCATTATGTCATCATTATCCATAAAAAAATGCAATCGTCACCTTGGCCAAATGGATGTGTCCCTTCATGGATTTAAAATATTGATTCGGTTGGTTTAATCACATACCAGTTTGTCGATCCAACCCAAAATTGATTTGACTTGGTTAGCCTGGTTCTACCAAATTTCCAACATTCCACCCTCATTTTATTGTATTCATATAGTTCCCTAAAATCACAACATTTATTGCATATTCCTCCCCATTTTAGTGCCCTTTTAAGTTGTTGTAATTATTGTCACTTAAAACTTTTACTAGTAGGTTTTGTAGTTTACTTTACATAATGTTTGTGTAGCGTGTGTTTATTGTACGTAATGGTTATATTATTGAATTACCTAAGTATTGCATAATATATGGTGTTTGTACATAATGAATTTAACAGAAAGTCACATAAGGTATACAATCATTATGAATTTAACACAAAGTCACATAAGGTATACAATCATTACCTAAGTATTTACGTCACATATTTCATAATGTGTTATGTAACAAATAAATATCACTAGTTTTTTGGCCGCACTCTGCAACGTATATAACTAATTGTATTTAAAACTGCACGACCCAATCATGAGTAGCACGTTCTTATTGGCACAACGATGGCCAATCCTGGAACGCTCATCATAATGGAAGCAGAGTTCTTCCACCCGGCGACGTGCTACCTCCTTTGGTGATATCCTTCGTGCATTAGGGTTGCATGATGGTGGTGCACGAGGTTGTTTAGGTGCTGCCTCTGCTGTGGTCTCCATCATTTCCCTTAGTGAATTCCGCGGCGCTCTGCAATGCTTCCTTAGTTTCTCATTCTTCACTTTGGCGAGTCGTATCACCTCTCTCACCGTATCTGGCTTGAACATGCAGATTGCATCAAAACTTTCATATTTAAGCACACTAGTGAACGAGCACACTAATAAATCCTCCGTCCATCCATAACATTGATTGCCCGATCTCTCGAAAGCTAAGAGATAATCGCTTAACTATCTGGTATGTTTGATCTTGGGGAGAGCTTCTCGGCTCGATGTCCTCTCTAACAGACCAAATCTAGCTCATAACTCCTCACGAAATAGGGCTCATGTCGTCAACATCCCCTTCATAATATAGGTACGGTCCACCCATTGCCACCATTGGTTGGCATCTCCCTCCATATAATAAGATGCTAGTAGTACCTTATGTTCTTTTGGCGTCTTCTAAATTTGAAAAACTTCTCCAATTAAAGAAGCAGAACACGACCAGGTGTGGCTCGTCTCCAGGTTGTCTTACTTGTATTTTGGTTAAAGAAGAGGGTATTTTGTCAAACTAAAGGCGAATAGTCTTTGGATATATTTAATTTGTTAAAATTTGAACTACAACCATATTAGAAGACTTTTGAAAGATATTGTTTTCCTTATAGCATGATCAGATATTAAGGTGACAAAGGAAAAGCAGTCTAGCCATACAGAAACACATTCACACATAATGAAGTTGAGGTTTCAAGTGGCCGAAAAACGTTTTCGTTAGCCAGGTATCATATTTGTTGATTCTTCAAAAACGTGATGGTCTTATATATTCATCGCTTCGGGGTGATACTACCAATGATTATTTTACATCATAGATTTATCAAAGAGGGATATTTTTGCACGAGGAGTCCAATAATTAATAGCTTATACAAGTAGTGGTTGTTTTAGATCTTCATGGCTTGGTAGTTTAAAGCCTCTTCTTATATTACACTCGGAACTCATGTTCTCGACTTCTTTTTATTTTATTCGAACATGTTTTTGACGCTCGCTTGCTTCACTTCAAATGTTTGTTATATTAAGAAAGTATCCTTCGAAGGTTTTTCATTATAAGAATAAGTTTTGCTTGGAAAGATTTGAGAGGTCACCACATAAGCAAAAAATACAAGCTGGAATTCAATAGCAGAAGTCAAAGTATGATATATCGAGAACCTATATAATTCATAACATTTGAGAGGATACAACAAAACTCATGTTAGAAAGTCATTAAACTTAAGGAGCTCATATCACAAAAATTAAAAAATATTTACTCATGACTGAGATTACGTTGAATATTGGATTTTTAAAGTTAAGTTCATGTCGATAGGTGTGGGTAACCATCCGGTGTACACTAAGCATAATTGTACCAAATTTTAACCAAATTTATATGTGAACCGAACTGAATATATTTTAATTATGTTTCGATTTAACAAATTATTTTATGCATGAATGACCGAAATTGAATTTGACCGGACCGACTCGAACAAAATACACCAAATATATTTTTTGGTCCCGTCTTTCTCAATTTCATTAAGTTCCAGACCAAATCGACTGATGCATATAGTTACCCACAGTAGGCGCAGACCAATTGACTAGTATTAACTAATAAGACGTGTTTTTAGTTGAAATTGAAGACTTCTATGGGTTTAGTTTAGAATGGAACAGTACAAAAATATAAGTGACACTTCTTGAGAAATCACCATAATAATAAAAAAAAAACCATGCGACTATACCCAAAATGGATAGTATTTTGATAACAAAAAAAATTTCCGATGTTACAGTAATTAAGATGACAAATAGTGTCTAAAATGGACGACACACAAAATCGTGTTTGATGTGGATGCCTTGCTAAACTTGTCCTTCTTGACTTGCCATGCATTTGGATTACGCCCTACATCCACGCATGCAGAACGACAGCCAGCAACACCATCCATAGTAGCCGAAGAATCGAAGAAGCAAGGTCTAATGGTGTCGATGCCCCTTTATTTACATCCACGCGTTAAAAACCACAAATCCATGTTAGTCACACAGTTAGCTATAGAACTAAGGATGCATGGAAGAGGTTGTGTGTAGTAACATAAGTTACCGTTTGGAGAAGGAGCCAAAGGTGGAGGTGAAGGAGGTTGGAGGTTATGGGGACAAGTTGAGAGACTGTAACAATTCGATCCAAGTGAACCTGTACCCATATATGTGAACACATATTAGTGCTCGACGACGACTAATTCAAACTGTGAAACTGCGAAAGACCGCGCGTTTCGACTTGTTATATTTGTGGTGAGGGAAAGATGATCGATACATGGTTTGTAGCAAGCCCAAGAAGTGTTATTGAACAAATTGCTGGCTCCGTGATGGCACTGGCAATGGTATCCCGTTCCATTTTCCTGCTCTACGCACTTCCCTTCCCCGCACCATACCATTTTGCACGCTGACAGTGGTAATTACGTAACCGTTCTGTTGGTTAACAATCTTTCTCTAGCAAAAAAATTGAAGAGAATGAAGTGAAAGATTCTGATTCGATTTCTGTTCGATTTTCACGTACCACCATCTGATGGAGAAGGAGAAGGCTGCGGTGCTGAAGGCTTGTTGTTGCAATCCGGGCTATGTGTTGCTGCAACATCAACAAAAAGAAGAAAGAAATTAAAAAGACGTCACTTAATTAAGCACTTAAATTAGTATAAGAGTTTGTACATAATTAGGTAGAAGTTCAAAATCCAGTTATGATTGAAGCATTCAAGATAGTTTATAGTACCGTTCGTGACATCAGATGAATGCAGTGTTGCAGGGGCTGAAGCTAATGTCAACGTCGAAGTTTTGTCACATTTAAGATCGACAGTACCTGCCATCAGCGGAAATAAAAAATTTCTATCAGGAAAAGCAATTTTCCTGTAGCGACTTTGAATTCTGAATTTTTTTATGTGCAAATTTTTGTTTCAGCTTACAGTTAGGGAGAATGCAAGCAGCGGTAGTGTAAGGAGGAGCCTTATGCGTCTTCCAACCAGGGTCGCACACACATTCGTAACCACCAACGTCGCTCGTCGCTTGACACTTCCCGTACCCGCACTTTACGAATTGGCACACCAAATCTGCTCCTCGCTCCAAACATAGTTAGTAAAATATGGTACGATAATGTGAAGAAGAAAAAAAAATACATTATACGAGTAAAGTTTATATCAGAAGTACTGGTTACAAGTTGAATTCTTAACAAAAGACTCATATACCTCCTAGGAAATCAGCACCGGGGAAGCCATCGATTACGGCCGAGGAACCACCGGCCGCGGTGGTCGTCCCTGTGAAGACAGTTAACCCTTGAAGTAGGAGAATGAGTGAGCCAAGCGTCAAGCTGCCGGCGTCCATGTGGTGCTTTATGATGTTACAATCGGAGAAGATCTCTATATGTTTTCCGGCGAGTTGTATATTTCCAACGTGTTTGAGAATGATCGACATATGAATTATCCGTAACGATTTATATATGTAATTTTGCGAGGTCTTGTAGCTAGCTAGGTGGGAATGCATGCAAATTAAGTTCCTGCCGCTGTCGAATTGCTGTATACCCTGTTCTGTACTTATATTCATATGAGAGACAAAATGTGGACTTCTAAATAAAGAAAACAGAGAAGTTGTGGTGTTTGATATATAGTTCCAGTTGAGGACAAAACAAAATATGAGCAAAGGACAGAAAGATAGAAGGCGAGCAAGAAACTGTGTCAGCCTGGTTACTAAAAGTACAAACCAGAAACTATATGCCGCTCTTTGGTGTGTCCCTACGAGAGCATCCAAGTTTAAATGGGCTATGATTCGGGCTGGCCCAGTTTCCTTGAAAAATATCCGGTTCTGCTCCTGATTTCTGGGCTCCATGTTCCAGCCCATGGGTATAAGGCTTCTTCTTATATATATGAGCTGGTCCTTGTAAGTAGTTTTGGCCCAATAGTCTGGTGGCAACAGCTTTACCAATCCAAATTCCAAGTTTTCTGCTTCTTTTCTGATAACCGGTAAGGTTCATGCTTTTGTACTTGTTCATTATAATCCTTATCCAAACAGGAGTCTACAATTTTTTTTTAGCAATTTACACTTGTTCCAGGGTTTCATCATTAATGGAATGTAACTGCTTATACTAATTATAACCCAAACAACAATTAGAGATGAGCAGTTAGTTGTTATATATAGATCTGTAAAATCCAATTGAAGGAGAATATGAACAACATCCAGTCAACATGTATCTGTGAGAGGATTGGATTGGGTGAGTGCGGATAGTGGGCGATTGAGCACTTCCTATTATGTTTTGTTATTATTATTATTAATTTTGGTCAGCTAATTCCCACGTGACTTGGTGATGGAATTAGGGTTTGTTTTTCCACAAACTATTTAAAGGCCAAAGCTAGGGCTCGGCCACAGTAACTTTCTTTCTTTTCTTGTTGATCGGCGATCATCATAATAAGAACTAAGCCGAGAGCAGTAGCTCTCTGTGGAATAGTCTCACTCATCATCGAGTGGGGAAACCACGTAAATCCTTGCCTTGTCTCTTTCAATTCCGCAACGTCGATTTCTTCATGGTATCAGAGCTTATCTCCTTCCAGGGATAGCTTCTTCGTTCGTTTGTTTATTTTGCTTCTCGAAGACTAGGGCAATCACAGTCAAGCCCTCGACATGTCCATCGGCAACGAGACTCACGACATGGTTACTGGTGGGTCGAGCAACGCCTTGCTCATGGATGCCTCGTCCCCGCTTCATCTCCATCCAGCTGATCACCCAAACCTGATGTTCGTGAGCGAAGTCCTCACCGACGCGAACTACGCGGAATGGGTGGCTGAGATGTCCAATTCCTTGATCGCAAAGAATAAGCTAGGGTTTGTGACAGGCGGGACTCCTCGTCCGGCAGCAGGTCCGCAGCTTGAGGCCTGGGTGCGCTGCAATGCAGCTGTTGTTGGCTGGTTACGTACCGGCATGAGTCGCGAGATCAGAAGCGGCATCAGCTCCAGGCTCACAGCACAACAAATATGGGACGAACTGAAAGAACGCTTTAGCACAGGCAATCTGCCGAGACGCTACAAGCTGCGTCGCGAGATCACTAGCTTGCGGCAAGAAAGGTCTAGCGTCGCTACCTTTTATTCCAAATTGAAGAAGCTGTGGGATGTTTGTCACTCTCTATCCTCCTGCCAAATGCACCTGCGGGAAGTGTGAGTGTGATGTCGAGAAGCGCACCCAAGCCTCCCATGAGGACATGCGCCTCCTGGATTTCTTGCTGGGACTCGATGATAATTTCTCGGTGGTGCGCACCCAGCTTCTCTCATTTAAGCCAACGCCTACTCTGGGTGAGGCCTATCACATGGTGGCCAACGACGAGCAACAACGCCACCTCTCCTCTGAAAATCGTCCATCCCTTGAAGCCGCTGCTTTCCAAAGCAAAGGCGATCGCAGCGATCGCAACCCAGCTGAGCCTCGCACACCTGAAGGCCGTCCATGGTGCACACACTGCGAGAAGCCCGGTCATTTCAAAGCTACTTGCTATGAAATCATCGGCTGGCCACAGCGCTCCAACAATGGTGGGGCCTCTGGTGGACGAGCTGGTACGTCGGGAGAGAAGCCTCGGCGTCGCAACAAGCCTCGGTCTGATCCGAAGGCCGCCGCTGAGGAAAGTGAGAACGACGCCAGCTCCATCCCTGGGTTGACCTCAGCTCAATTCGCCCAACTCCGTGCCTTCATCAATTCCGAGAGAAGTTCTCTGCCTATGGCTGGTATGGCGGCAAATATGTCTGGTAATGTTCTCGATTCTAATTCTTGGATTATCGACTCTGGCTGCAATGAACACATCGTTAAAAATAATTCTTTATTTGTTGGTGGTCTCGAGAAACACACCGATTTGCAGGTCAGAATTCCTAATGGAAACGGGGTTCTCGTTAATAGTATTGGGCAGGCACAGTTACAGAATGGTCTTGTTCTGAAACGAGTTCTGCATATTCCGGACTTTCAATGCAATTTACTATCAGTCAGTCGGCTTACTGCAGATCACCCAGTGGCAGTGGTTTTCTTAAGCAATTTCTGTGTTATCCAGGACTTAGCCTCGAAGAAGATGATTAGCATGGGGACTCAGAGTGATGGCCTCTATTACTTGAGGGTTTTCGATCAGGGCCACCCAGTTGCTCTCTCCGCGCGGCAGGCAGTGGGGAATTCGCATCTCTGGCACTCCAGGCTTGGACACCCTTCCTCAAAGAAGATGATGGCATTGCAACCTTTTATTTTCAGTCCTTTGGTTATCAATAAAGACCCGTGTGATTCCTGTTTACGGGCAAGCATACTCGGCTTCCTTTTTCTCCCAGCAGTATTAAAACTCAGTCTTGTTTCGAATTGATTCACATTGACATTTGGGGAGGTCTTTCTGAACCTTCGTTCACTGGGGCTCGGTTTTTTCTTACAATTGTGGATGATTTCAGTAGTGCAGTATGGGTTTTTCTATTGAAATACAAGTCAGAGGTTGCTCGCAACTTGCTTATGTTTTTTCGTCAAGTTCGCACTCAGTATGGGAAGAATATTCAGCGCATTCAGGCTGATAATGGACGCGAATTCACCACTCCACCCTTACGTGAGTACTACGAACAAGAGGGCATTGTTCTCCAAACCTTTTGCACGGACACTCCGCAGCAAAATGGCATCGTTGAAAGGAAGCATCGACACCTCCTTGATACTGCTCGTGCCCTGCGTTTTCACGCTGGCCTTCCTATTCGGTTTTGGGGCGAGTGCGTTCTCACCGCGGCATATCTAATCAACAGGCTGCCGCTTGAACCTCTTCAACATCGCACACCCTACCAGGTCCTTCTTGGTGCTGTTCCTGGATACGATCACCTACGAAGTTTGGGCTGTCTTGTTTATGCTCGCGATAACCACAAGGGGCTTCACAAATTTGCTCCTCGTGGTCGCCCAGGGGTCTTTCTCGGCTACCCCTCCTCTCAACGAGGCTACCGCGTATATGACCTCGAGAAGCGGCAGCTTTATCTTCTCGGGACGTTACTTTCGTCGAGCATGTCTTCCCATTCAAGGTTGATCAACCTTCTTGTTCGGAGCCTCCCGTGGATGCTTCTCCACCTGATTCCCTAAGTCCGGTGCGTTTTCTCACTGCTGCGAATGATCCACCTCCCTTGTCTTCTCCTGTCCCGCAGCCGAGTTCACCCACTACGCCGCCAGCTGCCCCAGCGCCACCTTCATCCCCGTCGACGTCTTCCTCTTCTGTTGTGGAGGATGCTATTCCTCTGGATACTCAGCCAGCCTCACCTGCTCTCATCTCTTCTCAGCCCGACGACGCCTCTGCTCTCCCGGAAGAGGCTGTCTCCTCCCCGCCAGCTCCCCATGCCGATGCCCCTGCGTTGCGCCGTGGTGATCGGGTCCGCCGACCCCTGCCTCATCTTGCCTCTTATGATGTTCAGCTCCCCGGCGCCTCTTCGGCTCATCATGTCACCTATCCTATAGCCAACTATGTATCCTACCATTGCCTGTCACCTTCCCATCGAGCCTATCTAGCTCGCGTTTCTGCTGCCACGGAACCCAAGTACTTTTACCAGGCGGTTCGGTTTGCTCATTGGCGCCTTGCCATGCAAGCCGAGGTCTCGGCCCTGGTTGCTAATGGTACTTGGACACTCACTTTTCTTCCTCCTGGCAAACGAGCTATCGACTGTAAATGGGTGTTTAAAATCAAGTATAACCCTGATGGGTCCATCGAGCGCTACAAGGCTCGTCTTGTGGCCAAAGGCTTCACTCAGGTTGAAGGGATTGATTATCACGACACCTTCGCCCCGGTTGCCAAGCTTGTCACGGTTCGCTGTCTCCTTGCAGTCGCGGTCACTAAGGGCTGGTTTATCCATCAACTCGACGTGAATAATGCTTTCCTTCATGGCGATTTAGATGAAGAGGTCTATATGAAGATTCCGCAAGGTTTCTCCCAGCCCGGCGATGCTCGTGTCTGTCGCCTCCATAAATCTATCTACGGGCTCAAACAGGCATCGCGCAATTGGTATCAAAATTTCTCTGCAGCTCTGGTTGAATTCCAATTTCGCCAAAGCCATGCCGATCCAGCTCTCTTCATCTACCGCGCGGCTGACTCTTTTGTCGTGGCTCTCATTTATGTCGACGATGTTATTCTCACTGGCAATGATCTGCCTTTTATTCAGAAGGTCAAGGAGTTTCTTCATGATCGGTTCACCATCAAGGATTTGGGGCCCCTCAAATACTTTCTTGGCATTGAAGTTGCTCGCTCCGCTCAGGGTATTGTTCTCAATCAGCGCAAGTATGTTCTTGACATCTTGGCTGAGACCGGTTATTAGGCTACAAGTCCTGCTGATTCTCCGATTGAGCAGAATCACCAGCTT